GCACGGTCTAGGCGGAGGGGAATGGCCGGCTGTACCAGCAACAGCTTGTTTCATTATTTTCTTCCTCAACCCCCTGCTTATTTCACAGCACTGCCCTGCAGGGACGAGTGCCACTTTGACCGCCTCTATCCCCAGTGGCTGGCACAGCCCCTGGTCAGCTGCAGATGCTCAGAATTTTGAATGAATCAATGAATGGAAAATAGAGATGACCCAGCATGAGAGCATTTTATATAATTATCAAAAATAAAATGGACACTTTAAATATATGACTTCCTCTAATCTTTTGCAATACAAGAGAAGCAAGGTTTGAGGCAAGAAATAAATAAATCACAGACAGACCCCTATAATGTATATATAATACATTTGTAAAGTGAAATTAAATGAGGTATAAAATTAGAACAAAGAAAAACAGATGGCTTTCTGCACTGCAGGGCTTACAAAATTGAAGCTTTTGCAGAAATTTATTTCTATGTAAAAATGATAAGCAAACTGGTAATAAACATCTAGTTCATGAAGTTTATCCTTGGGCAAATGGAGGAGGCAGGGCATGAGACTGAAGAGTGTTACTGAGGGTTTTTTCAGATTTCCCCCCAAAAGATGAGTCTGCTATATAATACTCACCCTTTTAGTTTCCTAAGAACAAAAACTCTCTCTTTAAATAAAACCAGGAGAAAATGGAAAGAGCTTAACAACAAGGTAAACCTGATTTACTTGATAATTAAATGGTAGTATTTACCACATGACAATATTCCCTTATGCTCTTTCAATTGTCTAAAACTACTCCTGGCCAAGGGCTGGGATGGCTCTCACTCTGAAACACCCATTAAGGCCCATCCATTCAACTCCTTGTATTTGCCCAGTGGCAGAAATAGACATGGGGTGAGGAGAAAAACTCCATAAACCACCTGCAATTAGTGCAGATGAAATACAGGGCCCAAATATCCATTGCATTGCCTGGACCTCACCTCTTCCCCTTCTTCTAGGTAAGAACACACTAATTTTCTGTGATGGAACTGGTTTTCCTTCACCCCACAGTTTTAAGAGTGGACACTCACATGATTATGGTCTTGCCAATCACAGCTTTGTTACACCATCACCCGCTCTGTGAGGCTGAGAGTTGACTATGAGCACGTGTGACTCAATCTGGGACAGGCTGCCTGAGAAAGAAGCCACCATTCTGAGGGCCCAGAGATGTTTGAGCACCTAGATCCAGCACAACTAAAGGAAAACAAAACAAAACAAAACCAAACCCACAGCTACTCCTTGGTCTTCACAATTATGAAAGCCAATCAATAGTTTTTGTTTGTTTCTATTTTTTTTTGTCCACACAAGCTCATTTGAATGGATTCACATGTAGTCAAAAGAAATATGAATAACAAACCTACAAGTACAACTACGTATGTTCCTAACACCTTGAGAAGGAATAATGAATGTCTTTCTCTATAGAAACACTGAGATTTGCAGAACTGGATATTAGGAATTTATAAAGTTTTTGTGGATTGGAGTAGAAAACCTCTAAAGACCATAAAATTGCTTCTGTAGAAAAACATAGTCCAAGTACAAAGCAAATTTATAAATAAGTTTTTCATAATTAGGCTGGTTATTACATTTCTTGACTTAAGAGTAGTTATTTCATAACTTTTCTAGCCTTTACATTTCATATCCTATGTTTTCCCATTGCAGCTGTATCCTTTAAATCCAAAAGCATTCGTACAGCTTCACACATATGCAGCATTTGTAACACTGTTATGTGCCCTCTCAATTACCCCGCAGAACAACCCAGTCTACCCATTTCACAAAGATATATTACTTACAAAGGATAAAGGATTTATTTGTCTCACAACCCACTGACAAAAGTAGGAGCAGAAATCACAGCCCAGTCCTTCCAAATTTTTAAGGACTGACTGAAACACCTTAGCAGAATTATTACTATTATCCCACCAAAGGAAAGGAAAATGTGAATGCTGACAATGTGTCAGCTGCTATGCATGTGATACTAGCTAGTTCCAACAATGGGAAACCACCATGAGGGAAAGGTATCATCTTCAGTTCACAAAAGAGGAAAACTGGAACTACCAAGAATGCATTTTATAGTGAAATAGTCCAAGTAATCGATTTGGACAATTGTTGCCAATGGACATTAATAGGAAAGGGAATACTGGAGGACACAGGAGAGAAGAACCAAAGCCAATGGACACAGAGTCTAAGGTAGCGGTCCCCAACCTTTTTGACATGAGGGATCAGTTTTATGGAAGACAATTTTTTCCATGGAACGGGGTGAGGTGTGGAGGTGGGATGGTTTTGGGATGATTTAAGACGATTACATGCATTATATTCAAGCTTACCCCCTGCTGTTCAGCATGATTCCTAACAGGCCCCGAATGTACCTGTCTGTCACTAAAGATTAAGGACCCCTGGTCTAAGTCACCAAACCCATTTCATGGTATATGACATTACAGTTAAAACCTTTAAAACTAAAAATGGTACTTGTAGTAAGGAGTCCTATTATCCAAGTAATCACGAGAACCTCTAAAGTGACAGAGTGGCCATAACACTATAACATATTTCTCTATGAACCAATCACAGAATTAATTCCCTGGGTTAACTTGAGCACTCATGCAAACTCCTTTATATCACTCCTTTAACAGTTTCTTCCTCATTGTGAAATGTCTAAAGAACTGTCCACACAATGCAAATCACCCATAAAGTAAAACTGAAAATCCTGTAAAAAAATATTTCAAGAAGATGATGACAAGTCCTGTTAGAATTTAGTAAAATTCACACAAAAAGCCATTGCTAGCCCATGAAACACAGAGGTTGCACATCACAGCAAATGAAAAAACTAATGATGCTCAAGTGCTTCAAAATGGTAATTTGCATATTAAATAATAAAAAAGATTCTTGGAAAAACTGACAGGCTGTCAGCTATTTTGTAAATTGATCATCTTTACAGTGACTGTGCTGCTCACATGTGAAAGAATATCATACAAAATGTATGATATTTTGTATGATAGAAATTTTGTATGATTAGAAAAATGACACCAGTAATGTCACTTTTTAGCATTCTTAATATCACATAGTATAACTTAAATAAAAAATGTTAGTGATATAACAAAATAAACTTACATTCTTAGTATGTTTAATTTTCACTTTTCAGGACTTGTGACTCCCAATTACTTCATAATACAACATTTTTTCCCAGTTTATGGCTGACTTATTTTAAAAGGGTGACTTTTCTAATTTTAATTATCCTGAGGTAACAACATGAAGCAGCAGAATACAGAAATAACTATGCACCAAATTAAAGAGTGAGCAAAACTGAGAACACAAGTGTAATTTCAACCCATTGGTCATGACCCAAAGCTTATCTCATGGTGTTTTAGTTGGACAGTCAGTTATCTAAAGACAGTGCAGCTAAAGTGTGGCCTCAACTTCAATGAAATTCAGTGAAAACCTTTATTTACTGAAGAAAAGGGAAGAGAAAAAAGTTCACAAGAGCTCTTGAAATATTTTTAAGTGTTTTAGTAGAGACATTCCAGTTCAATTCTGAGCTCATCAATTCAAAGGAGAACTCGACAGAACTAATATTTCCAAGTGTTTCATTTACTAAACAGCAACAGATAATATTTATATTGCTTATGCTGATTATAGATTATTCTAAATTTTTTTCACTCATTTTCTTAGAATTTAGCCTTTATGTACTGTTGTCCATGGCCACTGTCCTTCAAACACCAAGGTAAAAATTCTTACAATACCCCCAGTAAATACAATTATAATTCTCGACCCTTCCTCAAGGAGAAACATCATCTATAGAGAAATTATACTTAAAATTTGGTACCTACACTTGAAAATAAATCCATCTTAGCAGCACGGTCTAATTTCAGAACATGTCTTTTAAATCTTTTTAACATTTATGTGTGTTGAATACCTGCTTTGCTTTGGGTTTTGCCCAGGTCTCAATCAGGGCCTCCCACTTCTCCCAGAAACTCCCTCTCCCGGAAGAAACATCTCACGTGGTTTGGTGGGACACACTCAACTCCCACTGAAAGCTTTGTGCATAGGAGCCAACCTGGGAAAACTAACCCAACCCAGACTACAGTGTTGCTGTGACAATGGTGTGTGGCTGTGACAATATAGTTGTGACAATGGTCACAGATGGTCACCAGGCTCAACTGGGCCAGTGATTAATTCTCCCAGGGACTTCCCAGAAAACTTTCTCCCACAGCCATCCCAGAAAACTGCCCCTTTGCACTACGATTGCTAAACCAGAAAGGTATGTCAGGGGCTCGCTGCAGGCCACCTTCTCTGTGAGGCAGCACCTCCACATAGAGCCAAGTCAAGCAGAAATCAGCAGAGCCAAGATTTGAGGAGAGCCAGGAAGAAACACGGCTCTGATTACAGGCCTATACTCAGGATCTATTAACGTGAAGCCAGTGCCTCTGCATTTGCCAAACGAGTAAACCACACAATCCCCCTTTTGGTTTACCGTGTTCCTGTGAGCTATAAAAACAACAAAATCCTGTCTAATCAACATAAAAACTCCAAGTTACCGCATTTCAATTTCTTTGACCTTCAATTTTTAAACAGAATAGGGTTGAATTGGGTACAAATATTAAACTGAATAATCTCTAGGATTTCCCCCCGATGTGTAAATCTATTATGTCAGTTGAAATTTTTGTCAATTAAGTGTTTGTGTTTGCTTTTAAGCAGTAAAAGCTGCTAGCATACAATAATAGGTGCGCAGTGCTTTTAGAAACATCCACACTTGATGCTTATACATTTCTGACATGAGATCTCTTTAATCAGGTCAAAATACCTGTTTTTAAGCTTTTCATACAAAAAAAGTAGGTAATTTTTAAAATAAAATCTTCGTGGCAGCACTTTCAATTGTTAAAACAAATCAGGGTGCCCTTAATTCAGTAACTAAATCTTACCAGTAATCACAATTAGAGATTTAAACACTCATGCAGAGAAGAGTACAAACCATTCGTAGAAATGTATTCAAACTGAAATTTCTTTTTATTAAATGTTTTCTTAACTAATTTCTGACCTCTAGTTAGATGTCAAATTTGCAATTCCTTAAATGTGGTAAACAATTACGACACAATCAAATACAAAAACTATAATGGCATTCCACCAAAGTAACTGACAAAACAGGTGCTATGAAATGAAAGCATATACAATTCTGAATAATTAAAGCCTTTCTATAACTATTGAGTCTGTAAAGATATAAACAAAAGTGTTATAAAATTGTTCTTCTAAATGAAATTCTTTTATTTATGACTGTATCCGAGTTCTCAGGACAGTGTACCTGGCACACAGTGTTTATTGGGTAGCAGGAGATGGGGCAGGACTGGTGGAAAAGGCAGAGGTAGCTGGGGAGGGCTAAGGAGTGCAGCAGCTCAGCAAGATGGAGAAGGAGGTAAAGGGAAACGATTCAATGGAAGAGATGGGAGAAGGGAAAGCTGAATTAATCTGGGAAGAGCTCGAGGAAACGGCAACCCCTAAGAGACAAGGGGGTGGGTGGCCAGAGCCTGGGGAAGGAGGAATGCAGGGATGTCACCTGAGCTTGAGGAGGTGACCTGGGAAGAGAAAGGGGGGGAAGGGAAAGAGGGAAGCAGGAAGGAAAAGGCAGGAAGAAAACCAAGGGCAAATAAAGAAAGTTGGTAACTTCCTACCTACCTGAGTGTTTATCATACCTGAAAGTTATGTCATTCTACATGTAAATACTATTTAAAATCTTAATATTTCTATTCAGCTCCAGTAAAAGTATTCAATATATTAAGTTCATTACAATGGATATTATACATATACATTTATCTGGATACATGAACAATAACTTAATAAAAATAGAATGTTATTACATCACATTTTTATTACATATTTTTAAAGCTTCATCTTTTAAATTTAGAAGCACTAGACAGTGTACTGAAACATCAAGACTTTATTTGCTGAGCACCAAGAAAGACATTCAACGGCTAACTTGCACATCTTCCCCAACCAGAGCAATACTACATTTCCTATGCCCTTTAGCAGCAAAACTCAAAGAGGACCATTACCATTTCCTGGGACCATGACGTTAGAGCTTTAGTTCTTTCTTTTCTGGTTATTTCCCTTTACTAAATGTGCCTGTTTGGTAGAACTTCTTCCATCCTTCCTGTCCTCTTTGTCTCTGAATGTCATTTTACCAGAAATATCCTTTGTATTTGTTGATTTTTTCTTGTTTTCCTTGGCTTTAGAACCTTTATCTAGTCCCACTTTCTCCTTCTCTCTGTCCTTTTTAGTCTTTGCGGACTCTTTCCTGGATATATCGGAAACGGCAATTTTCTTATCCTTCCGGTCATCCTCTTTTTCTTTCTTCCCCTTTTTTCTCTCTTCATTCTTACTTTCCTTCCTTGACTCAAGCTTCTCCTTCTCCTTCTTCAGCTCTTCTTTAGTGAGTTCTTTAACATTCAAGTTATCCAATCAAAGGAAAAAATGTTTATTGAAAGAATCTCTTAATTCATAGGACAGCTTAGTGCAAAAGCATTGTCTGTTTTTAAATCTCTCCCCACACATAAAATGATCATTCAAAAAGTGACTTTATTATACCACTTCAAGTTGGTTAAAAATAGATGCTAACCTCTATTAAGTATTGGCTATAAAAGAAATTCTAGAACCTTGGCAACATATTTTTCCAGCTTAAAATATGGCATAAATTTGTCTTAAAACAAGGTTAACATGCAATATTATTCAAATGAGTGCATGCATAAAGTCAGTACTTTACTTAACAACTCACATTTCACAACTGTAACAACATAATTAAAGGAACACCAACAACATAAGAACAAATTTCCCCTAACTTGCAAGTATTTCCACAAAGATAATTTTAAAATTTTTACCTCTAACAAAAAATTATGTCCTTAAAATATGTGCTTTTAATCCTTGAAAACATAATGAAAAATTAAATTCCATTTAATTTTAAATAAGGAAAATACAATATCCATTGAGTATAAAAATTTAAACTCATTATCTATAGTATCTAAAATGATAAGTAGAATTCTGTGTTGCTCACATTCAACATTATGAAATCAGTATTCCTTTAAATATGTTTCCTGTTAATTTATGTAGAACCACTCAAGCCAACATATATATGTTGTCCACGTTCATAGGGAAGAAAGCAATTCAATGGAATATACAGGCAATTTCAAATCTCATGTAAGACACTGCTTTGAACTTGCTTTATATAATGTTTAATAGTGCTGCTAGCTAAAGGTGTGAATTTCACCTTCTTGCTCTCTCATATTAGGAAATCACGAGAAGCAAAGTATCTCTTTAACAAAATGTGGAAGATGTTTTTGCACACCAAAATCATGTAAAACCTACACAGCATAAAACGTTATTCAATTCTTCCTGAAAACTCTTATTAAAATCTTGTACAAATGCAAAGTAGCATTCACAAAGAATCAACCACCCAAGTCCTCGTTCTACTTCAGTGCCATTCACAGAGCAACGCAGATGACAACACTGAAAGAGCAGGAAGCCTGGGCCGTGCTGTCAGGTCTTGTTCTGTACACGGGTTTTAAAGTATTAAATCTTTAATGTTTGATGTGCCTCTCTAGACCAAAAAGCAAATTTATTCTTTATTGGCCACTATTTAGTAATAACTTATGTAAGAATAAAATGGTGAATATTCTGTTTTCTTCCTAGATATCACTCAGGTAAGATACAAAGTTAAAACATTAAAATTTCCTACTCTTAAAAATATTAAACTACAAATCACAAAACCCTGCGACTCACATAGTAAAAGTCTCACTTGTTAATGTTTCACCAAAAATATAAAAACAAACTACAAATACGACAAGCAGTTAAGCACAAAAGAATATTACAGATATATTAAAAAAAAAAACCATGCACTTCCCCAAGCCCCTCTCTGTGAAGGACATAAATATTTTCATGTGAAGAAGAAAAACCAGAGGGTATAAATGGGCTGTAACAATGAGTTGTTAGCCTACACAGAATAGGTCACAGGTATAATCACTTTTAAACAATTCAAATATTAAACATGGCAAATTCTACACCAACATAATACAGTGCTAGAGATTACACATCTAAGTTCTTATTTTACTGGAAACTGTTATGTTTGCTCAAACTAACTTTTACTATGCCCTAAGAAAGCTTCATCAGAGCTTTCAGAGAAATAAAATCAATCACTGATGAATTCATCTTTTTTCCAACAGTATTTTAAAAAATTCAAACTAAGATTTTAAGTTGGAGGGTAGGATGTGTATATGTAAATTTATATGTAGTATAACAATATTATGATATTGCTATATATGTTCTTAATGTGAAGACTTACAAAGTTTGGTAATATGAAAAGAAAATTAATATTATAGGCTTGAGGCAGAAAAAATTTTAATGAGGTCTTTATAAAACTAAAACTACTTATGACCAAAGGTGCACCCAAAACCAAAAAGCAATCATGTTTAGCATTAGTAGCTGCATTTACATAACATATCTAGAAAATGTCATGCACTTTCAAGCATTAAACTTGATTCACTCAAGGCTAATTTCAAAAATAGAAAATACCTTTGGCCTTAGTTTTTCTCTTGGCTACCCCACCAGGTCCTTCTGTTGATATTTACAAGATGAAAATAGGTTATAAATGAAATATGAAGGTAATTAAAAAATAAGTATCTATATAATAGTTAAAATTGATGTGTCTGTTAAACAAATTAAGTTAAATTCATTATTTTAAAAAATGCACTCCTTCAACACATATCACTTACATCATTTTAGAACCATATTTTCACTGTAACAGAAAAATGCATTATAATCAGCCTATGATCTACTGCATTTGCCGAATACAATGCATGCTTTTTTTGCCCAAATTTTTGTGGGAAAAATAAGATTGCACATTATACTTGGGCAGTACTATTTCCCATGCATAACTTGAATCAGACATGGGAATTAGCACTAAAATGTGGGTGCCTATTATACATGGGAGTGTATTATACATGGCAAAATTAGTAGTCAACTTCACAAGGTACCTTAGATGTGAAAGAATTGTTGGCTTTAGAAATGTGTACAATCACAGGAAATGGTGTTTCCCTCTCAGTGGTGCGAAGATAGTCAGAGGACTTCCGCTCGTGACTCACACGTGCAATTACAAGAACCAAGAGTGAAAGGACCTGAGGACTTTACTTCCCAATCCAATCATCATTATCATCATTACCATCACCCCAAAAAGGATAGCATATTTAACAGAATTTTAGTCTTTATTAATCATTGCTTTTTCCCACATACTTTCAAACTTTATTTAAAAATTGCACAAGTAAGAAATACACTGTTAGGTAGATATATTGTTATGTTTTTTAGCCTTCATCTAAAAACTTCGTAATAGCTATTTCCTCTCTTTGCAAATGAAAGTAATGATAGTGGGTTTACTTTTAACCCTCTAACAAATGTCAATACCACATGCCTGTCAGCTTGCTCTTACCCCATACAAGTTGTACTTAGCACCCCAGCCAGCTGATGTCCCCCCGGGTCACATAAATGCTTTGTTATACTCATGTATCAGCAAACTTTCCCAAGGGGCATTCCAAGTTGACAATCCATTTCCTAGGCCAGCAATTTTCAACCTTTTTCAACGAGTAGCCCATGTAAATTCTTGCAGTGCACTGGCTGAAAATCGCTGTTCTCGGCACATCAGGGTGGGAAGTATGTATGGTGATTAGAGTTCATCTCTGGTGAGGCAGCAACGTGCACGGTCCGTCACTCTACAGCAAAGGTCACAAGAAGTCCCCCTAAGCCCTTTTTCACTCATTCCTGCTAGAAGCTGCAGCAGTCACTCCCTCTGTTTCTCCAAACCACAATCACGCTCCCACTTCCAGTTTCCATCAAATGACACAGCCATTTGAGAATGGAATTTATTTTGGCTGAACTATCCCCATTATCATTCTGGAGGTGGGGAGTATTAGTATGTCTTATCACCGACTATATTTTTATTTTATTTTTTAATAAGTTCATTTTTTACTTTTTATTATACTTTTCCCATTACCATTTAGTCCTCTTATATCTCCTCTTACCCCTCAATCACCACACTGTTGTCCATGTCCATGAGTCCTTTTTCCTTTTTGTTCAATCTCTCCAGCCCTCATTCTCACCTTCTCCCCCTTAGCTGTCATTCTGCTCTCTATCTGTGAGTCTGTCTCTATTTTGCTCATTAGTTCATTTTGTTCCACATTTGGGCAAAATCATATGGTTCTTGGCTTTCCATGACTCACTTATTTCACTTAACTTTTCCATGTGGCTTTCTATACCTGTCAATTACTTAATATACATACACAATCATAATCAGTGTGTGATGACAATTATTTCTCCCATTTATAATGCCAACTTTTAAATATATGGGTATTATTCAATGTGCAAACTAAATCAGCATAAATCATTAAAATGTACTGTTAGTGATGCTAATGTCTCCTGACTCCTACAGGTTCTTGAAATGCAGCCCTGGATTTTTCTGTTAAAAAGCAGAGGATTGAAAATCAGATAACCTACCCTCTACCCCCACTATGGTCAAATGTGCTATACTGGTGAAAAGGCTAAAGTTAACTTTTAGCTTTTATTATTTTATTAATAAGCTAAAATATCAGATCAGCATCAGATTAGTGAAACAGGAAAAATAATAAGTACTTAAAACTTTTGCAGTTTGGATATGAATCCTTAAAGTGGAACAAATTAACAATGTGCAATGTATAGACATGTAAAATTCCAAAGTACCAATTTCAACTACTTTTCCTAAACTTAAAGAGTATACGTAGTCAATGATTTTTTAGTGCTTTTGACATGACAAATACTGAGCTAACAATTTAAGCCACAATGATCATATTCAATCTCTGGTGGAAACAGTAGAGACATGAAAGAAAGCACAGCACTTGAAGGACTGGAACTTAACAGACAAGCCCCTAAGTATGGGAGAAAAGAGAAGAAAGAAAATGCAGTTCTAAAAACTAGAGGAGCAGTGTTAGGAAGGAAGGCATGAACAAAAGTTTAGAATGAGGACACTACTGAAGTATGTTAATCATTAAACATCCCATTAGGTTCTCCAGATTATAGTACAAGAGGTACTGTAGGCCCTCTTATACAAGAAGTACAAGAAGTAGCAGTCACATTACGGTGATGAGAAAACAGAGGTGGGCAAAACCCAGGGTGCTCACGAGGGCCACTCTTACCTCCTTAGGAGAAAACTGATCATATGTGTATTTTCCTAAGATTCTCAGGGGGCACAAAAGGAATAGGGTTTTAAAGAATTTCATTTGTGTTTGTATGCACTGAAGGCTAGAGGAAGACATAGGTTTGCCTACAGAAAAAAAAAAAACTTAGTTATTGAGAAAGGGGAAAAATGATGAGGCCAGAAGAAGGAGGCCCAGACACAAGGGAAAACATTGGCTTTGGAAACCTGAAGATGCCGTATCTGAAAAAAATGACCAATGAGGGAGGAAACAATGATTCAAAAAATAAGAGTAATGAAATGTCATACAGGGTAAAGAAGGAAACATAATGGAACCCAAGTTAGGGGTGACTACCTTAGAAAAGCAGGAAGCAAAATGACCTCTACAGAGAAAGGAAGATGCAAGAGCTGAAAAGTTTGGAATACTTACTGAAGAGAGTAACTGTCACGACAGTGAGCAGTTCACAGAAGTTCGATTTAGGGACACTTACAACAGTTCTTTTTCCAACAACAGTGTGAAGCCCATTGTTGGAGGAGGGGTGAGTGGGGCAGGATTAATGACAGCATGTAGAGGGGAAAAAATGACAAGTTTAGGGAAGCAGAGAAGTGGCCCCAGAGTACGTATGTAAGAGCATAGGGCATGTATGTAAGACTTTGCTTTTATATAATTCCTAATTGTAGACAGAATTAATTTCTTAGCATTTGTAACCATGGTTGATGTGGAGTCTCTTTACAATGTCAAAAGGCAAGTGAACACCTATTTTTCCAGGATGGAAAAAAGGGAACAATTCCATCAAACAATAAAATTCATGATAATGTAATAACTTTTTAAAAATAGTTTCCAAGTAATATGGAGAAAATTAAATCAATTAGAGACTGACAAGGAAGCATATTTGGTACTCTGCAATCCATGTAGATGAGAGTTATTTTATTGATAGAATACATTCCGATTGCAGGCAGTCATCAAAGAAGCATTAGGATGTGGTTACAATCAAAGAGAGTGCCAACAAATAAACAACCACCATGTTGCTTATTTCCTTTTTGTCTGTGTGTTTATTCTGATGGTTTCTAAGTGACTATTGTTAATGGCTGTGTTGACTATTTGGGAATTCTCTTATAGAAATTTGAAAATAGCAGGTCTAATATTCTTTCTTTAGAACATGAAAAAGTTGCCTAAAGGTAATAATGTTATTTTGACAACTGCCTCAGAGCCACATATCCCCCCACAGTTTCAAAATGAAATGGTCTGGATGAAATTAAAACGCCCGATCATTAAGCCAATGCTTGGACCTGGGGTCCCACCACATGCAACAGACAGTTTTAGAAGATTGGTTCCATTACAAAAGCCCGAGTAGCTACCGCAGAGTTTCAGAGTTGGCCACAGAATGGGTAGGCTGGGTATCACATTATACTTAGGTCATTTCAGTCTCTCCCATAGTCCCTGGTGATGCCTGAGAGCCTCAGTTTCTTATCCTATTTCCTTTCATAGTAAAACATCTTAATTTATTTCAACATTGACTAAAGATAGCAAAAATAGGCCAACCACCTATGTGGAAGGACTGTGAACTAGGCAGACTGTTGCTTTGAAAGGAATGTCTAGTTTTGGTAAAATGCATGTGAGGACACACTACACCTCTTTACACTTTTAAATAGATAGTGTAAATATGTTATCACAGATATTTTGAAGGGAAAAGGAAGCTCTAAACCTTCCAGCCTTCTATGATAAATAGGGGAGGGAGGATTAGAACATAACAGAACTGAAAGACTAGATTTAGGAAGAGATTACAGCTAGAGTTTGACTAAAGATAAAATGTAGATTCAAATTACAAATGAAATATTTGGGGAAGATCACCTAAGACCTCTGTTAGCATAAGTCAGTTTATTGTATGAAGTTCAAAATTCATTTCTTTTCAAAAAATATGTCCAATAATTGTTTCACTAATTTAAGATGGCTTAAAAAACAAAGTAAAGAAATGCCTCAGTGTCCCTTTACACAATAGGTGGTTCCTGAGGTTCTTACTCACCAGGACTACATCATACATTTCGCTGAGCTTTGGAGAGAGACTCAATGAAATCTAAGACCTGGTTCCTAACTCTTTAATACCTACTCCTCTGTATTATGTGGTTATCTTAACAAATAACCAAGGCAGAGAATTCGGTGTAGTGTTTCATCAGTCAACTTGTGATGATAAAGTCTGAGTCACTGAATTTCATTCAAGTGCTCCAAATACATACTGTGATCGAAGAAAATTCCATAGCCCAAATCATAGAAGTATCTTACTTTGTTTTATAGATCAGAATCTTATACAGAAAGGATCATTGAGTATCAATCCCCCAGCAGGTATAGCTGCCAACTGCACAAATTAACAATAATTGTCTATGCCTATATCTGCTTCTGCTCATTCTCCAAAGGTATAAACATCAGGATAGACAAAGAAACATTTTGTTCAGTCCAGCTAATTATGAAGAACAACAAACCAGAATTCAAGCAGAAAAAAAGTTTTTCTTCACATGTTTGGATATAGCTCTGTAAGACAGGGAGGTAGTGATAGGGGAACTCAAGAGTTGAAAAAAAAAGTTTTTCTTCACATGTTTGGATATAGCTCTATAAGACAGGGAGGTAGTGATAGGGGAACTCAAGAGTTGAAAATTTTTTAGCTTTAAGTTATAGTTAATAGGCTTATTAATTAATGTATATGAAAAGCTATTGTTCTAGGAACTGGAAGTATGACCCCCCTGACTCCAGAAGACCCACAAGCAATTCCACCTTGGGACACAAATAAAGAAAGGATGCTAGGAAATCTGCTGGGCTGCAGCTTTTATCTGATTAACCTTTTCTCTGAATTCCAAACCCCTTACCCAGACTTTTCTTCTCCTTACAAAAAAGGTCAGTTTGAAATGAGAGGTAAGGCAGTCCTTATAACCCACTATCTTCTCAGATCGCCAGCCATTTAAATAAAGTGCCCATAAAGATTCAATCTTTGTCTCTATTTATTGGTTCTGGTAGTGACAGGCAGCACAAATGCCAACTTTTCCAGTTTCAGTAGTGTCCAGAATAAAGGATGGGGCACAAGATGAAAAGGCTGGCTACCCCAGCATTCCACTAGGTCCCCAGCTCTGCATGAGTCCACTAGGTCCCCAGCTCACAGGCAGCCAGATGACAGCGAGGCCTCAGAAACTGAATAAATAAGATCAGCACATAGAAGATGCTTTTCCAACTGACTTACACGCCACCACCGATGTCCTAGAAAAAATCAGGGCTGAAAACAGCCAATGTGCAGAAAGTAAATCCCCAGAGTGCCAACTCCTTGTTTTTGTACTAAACTCCAGAAAACTCAGTGTCTTTCAGCTGGACAAATGGCCAAGCGTGGGAAGACGCAGAAGGGCCACTCTGAGGAGACACCCTACATCTGTACACAGAGCATACTCCTCAAAGTGCCTGCAGTTGTTTGAAATGGAAAAACAAAGGGACAAGAGTACAACTCTAAATTCTGTAAGTATAAATATTCAAACGTACAGAATACAATTTTGCCTTTTAAAGTAAATTTCTCAGCTTAAGCTAGAAAAATATATTATGAAACAGAACATTATACAATAAATCCTTAGAACGTTCAGAATTATAACGTATATAATAAATAAAATTTAAGTGAGGTAATTTTTTTCAGCTTCAACATACTCTACACCAAGTTTGCCAACAACTATTTTCTCTCACCAAAATGAGCCGTAGGCACAAGTTGAAGGAAGTCACAGAAGTCAGGGGTTCAGCAGCTACCTGGGCTTTACCTTCCTGTGAGTCTTTCCCAAAGGGCTGATTAAAGGGGGTACCAAATAAATGGCAAATTATGGTCTCACACCCTTATTTTTCACTAACAAAAATAATGCATAATTAATTTCTGCACATAAAATGTGTCAGCATCACAACAGAAAGAGCCTGGTGAGAAATTAATGATTCCAAACATTTTTAAACACACAATTTTAATTATTTACTTCTTATAATTTAATCAAACATCTTCTAGAGGTTAGTAGCAATGAAGCATTAAGAAATAAGACTGATTTAAAGAATACATCTCAGATATTTGGCTAAGTGAATTTCATTAAGAGTGTAACGCAAGAATGCTTTTGAATCTAAACCTAATGTACTTTGCTATTTCATAATACTAATTCAAAGGGAAGATGCATTAAGTTTGGGCAAAAACTGCATCAACTTTCAGAAAGATCATATCCAAATGATACTCATTTGTTCCTGAATATTAACATTCTAACACCAAAAGCTTTCAACTGTCAGAAACATTAACAGAATAAAACATATTCCCTGAATAATTAGGAAAGACAAACTAGAGTTTTAACAGCCAGTTAAGCTTTGGAAGAGCACTGTCAGAATACAACTGGTGTATTCACTTCCAAAAGTAACTGCAAAAGAATGCCTTCTTTTTAAAGAAAAAAATGAGACTAGCAAATTGGATAGTGTTCATTGCCACGTGCGAGTCGTGAGTAGAGGAGGCGGCCAATGCGCTCCCCATATTCTGACTGGAGACCTGCTTTCAGGCTATCACTTGGACAGCCCACAGGAATAATTACTGATAAACAAACTAATCTGAAAAAATGGGTGAATAATCCACCTACTGGAAGACTTCGATTAAATATAAAAAGTGAACATTTGAAAAGCAGAAATTATTAAATAATTTTAGTGCTTTTATTTAAAATAAAATCATTAAAATGCAAACTTTTTAAAAAAATTTAAGCTCTAGGAAGAACCAAAGTTAAGTTTTAATCTCAGAGATATAAAAACATGAAACAAACACAATGTAATGGTTACATGTTTCAAAAGTATAAATGTAAGAACGTGGCAGAAAAAAACTTTGTCTTTAGAAAATAAATGAATAAAAATAAAAGCACGAAACACCGCTCCCTAAAAGAGTGGAAGAGACCAAAGGTCTTGGATCTTTTTGCTTTCAAGCTGTGAAGAGCTTTGAGGGAGGAAATGGATAAACTCTAATTTTACAAAATGCATGTTATATATGGCTAATACAATTGCTTTCAATATTATTCAAGCAAGCTAACTTTAAATAAAGACACTGAAAGGTGTTTTTAAGGCATTCTAATGGCAAAAAGTATTCCACTACAAAGCATTACCACTTTAATAAATTTAAATTATGAATCTAAAATTCATATTATACCTAAGCCAAAGTTGATAGCTAGTTAATAATACAAAAAAAATGGAAAAAGACTTACTTAGGGTGAATAGTTTTAATATGTACAACATTATTTAAGATACATATTCACATTTTCTTCCTTGTATAATATGCCTTTTTTAAAAAATATACAAATTACTTTCTCTGGATGCATATTTGAAAAGGAAATTAAAAATAATTTTGCTTCCATAGACAGAAATATTCAGACATACTACTATCTGAATACAGTAACTTAACTACCCTAAGGCAAAAACATGGAGTAAAAGCACCATTAATACAGAATTTTACACTGAAGTTGGCATTAACCTATGTGACAAATCAGTTAAACAAATTACAATTTTAAAAATCAGGTATCTTAAGAATAATCGTTTTACACATCAGTCATGTTAAAGAGCAAAAGAGAAGCATTTATGAATCATGCTAGAAATATGCTGATAATCAAGTCCATTATAATCATCTTAATTAACAGTGTGTTAGAAAGACAAGCAGCATCAAAGGTTAATCACAAAACAATTCTCTATTAAGTTTCTAGATTTAGTTCAGTGAGTACATAAGTCAAAACAGAACGATACAGAAACCAATTATACCACCAAGAACATCATTGTCAATGCGCTTCGTAGACAACTACGGGAATGAGGAATGCCACTTTCTTCACTAGAAGTGGGGGCACCAAGCAAGGGACTAGCTAGGAGCTGTACTTTGGGAAAAGATCACATGGTTGCTTTGTATTGTTTGATCACAGCTGCCCCACTGCACGTTAAGCCCTGGGTGAGCAAAGGAAAGAAAGGAAAAGGAGACTGCTTCGGGTTTTCGTAAGCCAATGACTTCAATCCCTGAATCAAAGTTACTGGTTATGTAAATCCAAAATGACACAAGTCTTTCCCTGAACCCCTTCATTCTGTGACGTACCATCAACACCATCTGTGGTTTCGCTTTCTTCTTCTTCTTCTTCTAGCATTTCAAAGGGAGTCATTATATCATAGAGAAATGAGAGGAAACCATAAAACCAATCTGAACTTTCCTCTGCTAAAATATTAAGGACTTCCTCAAGAGAATCAATATTTTCATTACTGCCATCTTTGGTCAGGCCTACATAAGAATAAAGGAAGAGAGAAAGAGAAAACAAGGAGAGCAGTTAGGTGGAAAAAGCAGCAGAGGAAGAGTGATCTCAAAAAGGATGTGCATCACGGTCACAGAGGTTTACAGAAAAGATATTTTGGAAAATAAAGGAATCAATTAAGATGCACACCTTAACAATCAACTCTCAATCACATGAACTGAAGGAAAGGCACAACTTAACCAATCCTCACCTTTCCTACCAGCCCCTGCCCAGGTTTGTGTTTCTCTCATCAGAGAATGGAGAGCTGGAAAACACAAAACCCCATCAGCCAATATCGACTGACCATTGTCAACAGGATGACTGAATCATAGCAGCATGCGGGTAAAAAGGCAGATAGTCTGAACCACCAGATCTGCTCATTTACCCAGCAGATATTATCGAGAGTTGATTATATGAATATTTACAAAGCTCCATGCATATTTGCCAAAAACAAAAAAGGTGCATTTTCTCAAACTTTTCCCCTTAGGGTCTGGAGTTAACTTGAGAAACTCTGAAATTACTGGATTACTCTTCACAGCCTCCACAGATGAGTATAAATGCACTCAACTTGTGTCTAACTCAGATAATTAACTCATACTTTAACAATATGGTAGCTCTATAATTTTCCAGCTACTGAGACACAGTCCTTTAGTGTTGGCCAATAATAAAAGTCAATTATTAATAATAATTCACTCTGCCTATCAATATGAAATTTGATCAGGGCCTTGGCCAGTCATTTGCAATAAGAACTTTCCAAAGTTTTGTCCCTATTAGCCCAAGAAATGAGCTTCTACTGTGAAGACCCCAGACTCCCGTTGTTTGGAAGTCTTAGTCCCAAAACAGGCCCCTGTGATGGAAAGAAAGCACAGTAATGTTGTTTTATCATCTGCTTTTTGTTTGTTTATTATTTCTTTTGCCTGTGAAGAATTGGCATTGGATAGGAAAGGTCTCTCAACTCCAAAGTCACCAATACTGCCAGCCTCTAAAGAGCAAGGCCTATAATTTTAAGGAGAAGAAAAAAGGGGTGTAGAGTTCTGTCTGTAAAAATTGTAAACATCTGTAATGTTAGAGGTGAGATTATAACCACCTAGTTTAGTATTTCAGGCTTTGACAACACAGAATTTCTCCATGGAGCATAAATACCAGCAATGAGGATTGACAGGTAAGAGATAATAATAGTAAGGTAAAGAGTATAAATATAAAATATTTTAGTGAATTTCCCCCACTTGAACCCACAGAAGAGCTACATCATGCCATTTTTCATTCATTTGGGGAAGAGGAGGACACACTGCAGTTAGTGTTTAAATTATTTCTGACAAACCCAGGATGGTTTTTTTACTGAAGTCAACAACTGACAGTTGCTCTGAACAGAGATCTGTGTCCCCACATAGGTCTCTGTGGAAAGTGATTCTTCCTCCCACCTGAAAACACTACAGCCGTATATTTACAATAAACATTTTTTCTTTCCAATTTTCCAATAGAAGCACTTCCAAGTTAAAAATATAAAATATAAAACTTGAGCACCCTTTACTACGATAGGTTAAACTGTATGACCAATATGCAAAAGTATTTAAACAAAATTATTTTATCCAATAATGCAACTTTCCTGTGATTCTTAAGACAACAGTACTGAGAAAGTTCTGGGTATACAATTCCTCAGCCTCTAAGAGGAGGCCCAAACCAAAGAGCAGGGTATGAATGCCTTTGAGTGGGCAATACCCAGTCCTTTCCTCTCCCCAGCTCAGTCATGCATCCCTTCCAGTCTATGAACATTTACCAAGGTGTCCTTTGTGCTCTCGGGTCATACCTGTGTGGTACCCACCAGGTACTGGTCCAGGACGAGAGATTAATCATGTAAGCCTTCGGTGATATTACTCTAAGAATATGTTACTCTTAACATTTAGTCCTGGAATCAATTTGCTATCAAATTGTTTTATTTGGTAAAAAAAAAGTTGTCAGAGAATACATTTTCAAACAATATAGTTTCCAATGATCCAAACCAAAGTCAAGGATACTTTATTTTAGAAAATTTGGCCACAGAAGTAGGAAGCTATGTAAACTAGAACAGGCTTAGAATATTTTCTAAGTATATCTTAAGGGTCATGGCCAGAAACAAGGAAATAATAAAATGAATGATGGCTACTGACCTTGATTTACTCACACATATTTCATTATTTCTTTCTATTTCACAAGAAAAAACAAACCTTAAAATGTGAAAGAAATGCAAATATGAATGTGTACATTTCCTCAAATTGATACAATTTAAATGTTTGCAGATTTAAGAATGCAGAAATACTTATAAAAGAAATGCCAAAACTATTAAAGTTTAACAATCTCAACTATTACCACCCCTACTATGCCAAGCTCTCCCCTAATCTCCAACTTCCTACTTTCTGGATGCCCTCTACCTTAAGTCCAAAGCCCTTATCCTTGAGCTGTCCCTCCAATGAGAATGCACTCAAGAAGTTGGGCTTCTCTTTGGGTATATGTTCACTGAGCTTGCTCCCCTTGCATAACCTCTCTCTGAACACACAGGGCCCACCAATGGCTCTGTACCCCAAGAATTTCACCAAGCTTTCTTTGCAATTACCTGCCAGTAAGAGAGGTACAACTAAATTATAATAACTTCATCAACTAAGAAAGAACTTTAGTCATAAAATTCAATTCTGGTCAAGACTACATTTCATGCAAAGAATTCAAACACCACAGCAGTAAGGTCACAGGATGTAAGGAAGCTGAACAGCTCACCTATGGTGTGTGTCATCTTTACTGAAGCTACACGCCAACTGTGGATTATACATACAAACAGTGAAACTGTTTACTGAGTCTTTGTGCACTGAGCAGTCAAACTGTCAAAATTAACTGAGATTCACCAAATTTAATGACACTTCCAAATATATACTGCTTATAAAAAAAAGAAAACAAGTATGATTCGCCCATACCAGGTGTGTCTACCTACCTGCAAATGACAATGTTCTAAGTTACAATTACTTAGCCTGTAAATGGTTGATTAAAACCTTAAAGGGAAATCAACTCTTGAAATCTAAATGTAACACTAAAAGTCAAGTTATTAATATAAGCTCGCTATACAAATTAGTGTTTTATTTTTAAGAAAAGATTCAATTTTAATAGTTGACATTTCTTATCTGACAGACCAAATAACTGATTTAAAACCAATAAAATCAGTAACACAGAAATAGAAGTAATATTTCTAAAAATGAGGAACTTTGGCCTACATGAAGTTATTTATGAAATTAAAAAGCTTCACTATTCAGAATCCATCATTTAAATTAAAGTAATAAAATGGAGTAATAAACCATTTATAGGCAAGCAAACCAGTATTATTCAGATGTTAAATTCCACATAATTTTATTTGGTTTGCATACTGAGGATTATAGTCTTCCAAGATTCACTATATTTATACAAACTTAAATTTAGCTAGGTAATAATAGAATTACATAAAAAAATTTCAATAAGTTTAAGATAGAAAAAGAAATTTCATAGATAGTAAGCTACCATTGCTTTGTAGCAAATATAATTCCCACTGAGCAATAGTAAAATATTAACCAAATTTAAAAAGCTATACTACATTTAATCACAACTAAACCCTTTTTTCATATTTAGAACTTAATGTTTTATAAGAAGATTAAGATAAATCTACAAAAACAGTCTCACTGGTTACAGATGTGATATCCTCCCATTTTGTTCATGTCCATAAAATATACACCAAATTGAGGGTAGAAGAAAAATTTCTTTGTGCCGTTATTTTATTTAACTAAGTGTAGTGTATCCATGCCATATTCATTATTCTTCTAAAGACTTTGGTACAAAAGTTCTAATACATACTATGCCACACACTGAAGCAGAGGAAATGATGTGGTTTGATAAGCAGAAGCACATCTGTCTCCAGGCCAGATCACAGAAAATGTGCATATTAAAATCAGTGCCCTCCTTTCTAGTAAAACAACATTTTAAAACAAATGAGGGAATATCACATTTTTATTTATTAGAAGAACATCCCAATGATAAAGACAGGTAAAGAGAAGGGCTCAAGACTTCCAAAATAAACCTGGCCAAAAACTACTAGTTCCTATTTTTAACGTTACCTTTAAAATATGCACAGCACATTTTAAGATGTTTACTAATACTTTTTTTATTTCAAAGTAAATTTATGTAACCTTTTAAAAATTTACATTTCCAAATGGAAGTGGATTGTCAAATGACAATGACACTAAAGAATGCTGTAATCACCGTATCTGAAAACAGACCAACACATTATCTCTATATTCAATTGTTAAGTTCAGAATATGAAGTGCTTTAAATCTGAAAAAAGGTATCAAGTTATTATACTTATTAAGAAGATATGTTAAAAGCTATATGTTATCGACTTATAAAAGCAAATTGAAATGTGAGTCCATGGAAAAATAATTAAGTTATTTAACATATCAACAAGAATAAGATATATGATTTAAGTGGGAAAATATCTCTCATAAAGTGTATACAATTGACATTGATATCATCATGGGAAAAATACTCTTCTGTTTCCAGCATTTTACCAACATTAACAAAAAGTAAAACATCTACTTGCCTAATAAAACTTTGGCATCATCCACATCAAAATCTCCGTCACCATCGGCATCATAGACTCCTAGTTTTCCTACAAGAGGGGAGGAAAGATGGATATGGGAACAAAAGAAAAGCAAACTTAATAAAGTATCACCACTTAATGGAGTCCTGCACTTCAGCCACACAATTCTTTGCTCTTGAATCCCGAAAAACAGTGCTAAATGAATATCTTACCTAAAAATGACAGGCAATTCACTTAGACATTCAGGAAATGTTCCCCTAACAAATCTAAGAAATGTAACTGAGATATTTTCCTTAAAGGTTTAACAATACCCTGACTGAATCATTTGATTTTTTTTTTAAATTATACTGCTACAAATATTTTAGGTAAACTTTTCAACATATAAAGAAATAATATTGATCCATTTCTAACAATCACATGGAACAATGTTTCTAAAGCATGAAAGTTCCACCATCAGTATTCAAAAGGAACAAATACCAAGCCTTAAGTAAAGACTAAGTATTAACTGGATCCAGTACAGGTACTAAAATTAAGAGAGCAATTAATTTTATATTTTACTGTAATGGTTTACAAACAGAAACATCATAAATCAATCTTTAAAAAAAGACTTCTGAAAATAAAGTACGTAAAACTGGCTTCCTGAAATCACAAAGGAAAGCTCACAGTTATCCTTAGCAGTAGATGGGCAATGCCATCTACTAATAAGAAAAAATAGTAAGGATTAAAACAGGTAACCTGAGAAAACAATACTACCAGACCTCTCCTCATCAAGAATAGTAAATCTGTACCTTAAGACTTTAATGAAGCTTTATTGTCTAGGAGCAATGTTATATTTAGCATTTGAAATGAGTTGAATATATTCAATTCTTTTTTAAAAATCCTAAAATCAACATGATTGATAATTTACCGCTGGACAATGGCTGGGAAGGGACATCATAAATGGACAGCAATATTTTAAACAACATTCCCAAGTGCAGCATTAGCACTAAGGAATCAGCTGGCAGCACTGTTACCTGTTCTTTAATAAAAAGTATATTAAGACATTGCATAAGAGCAAACAGAACTTTTGGAGCAGAGTAGCTATGACCTACTTTTACCCTTCCAGAGCCCTTGTTCTACTAAGGAAAACTTACTATGTAGAACTCTGATTTAGAAAGCACACACATTAAACATGACAATAATAATGGAGAGTTATTATTTCTTTGCTGAGAAATGGAAAGCACACTGATCTTCAGGTCAAAGCTGTATGGAGCACAGAGCTCAAACATTAGAAACAGGAAAAACATTATGATCTCTGACAAACTTAAAAATGGAAATTACTCCTATCACTCACATTCTCTGGTGTGGGTGATAACTGAATTAGCAGAATAAGGATGAGATTTTAGAGACTAACACCAGTGAACTTAAAATGCATCTTCAATAGCCTACCTTGAAGTACCTCTGATAAGTTATAACGGAAGTCCTTTGCTTTGGCTGCATGCATGTAAAAACATGAAAATTATTACTTGTGCTTAAAGGTACAAGTATTTGAAATCTCTTGTTTTGTAACAGACTTCTATCATCATATAAGTAGGCAAAATCACATATTACACAGAAGTTTGTCTCTACACTAAAATACTTTCTCTGTTAGTCTATTAATTTACCCAGAAATACTTTTAATAAAAATCAGAAGCTCCAGTGAATGGAACATTACATGTAACTGTATTTTGCTATTCTTTGTCTTTCCCCCTATCCCAGAAAGATGGCTACAATCTACTAAGTAAAGCAGGACAATAGGGCCTGTGGAAGAGAGAGGTTTCTCGTGCAACAGCGTACACATAGAGAAGTGTGCACTTTGTTCAGTGACAGGGTCCACATCTTTCCCTGAGTCATGAAAGAGGAAGGCCATTTATTCACAATAGCCAGAAAGCAGAAACAATCCTAAATGTCCATCACTGACAAATGGAAAAGTAAAATGTAGTATATCCATATAATGAAATATTATTCAGCCATAAAATGGAGTAATTATTAAACCTTAAAAATATTATGCTAAGTGCAAAAGGCAGACACAGAAGGGTGCATACTGTATGATTCCATTTATATGAAATGTCCAGAACAGGCAAATCCTCAGACACAGATTATTTATTTATAAGTGTTTGTAGGCAAAGGAAAGGAGTGGGGAATTGGGTGTTTGGAGGCAAGGGACGATAGAAATACTCTAGAATAATATAACAATGATGGTAGCACTAAATTATGAATACTTTAAAAATCAGTGAGTAAACTGTTGACTTTCAAATATTTATGATATTAAATTTTGTTATGTGAACTTCTTGCAAATTTTTTTAAAAGACTTGGTTAGGTTAAAAAAGAATATGACTCCAGAAATGACAAAATCATTAATGCAAACAATCATGAACAAGTGCAGTGATTATGAGGAGAAAAAAGGAGAAAGGAGTGGAAAGGAAGACAACTGTTGGAAATAACAGGGCAGCTTCCTCACAACAGCACACTGAGCGCCCCCCCCCCACCACACACACTTCCACACACAGCAGTTTCATTGAAGGCACAGAGGGGTTGCTTTGAAAGGCGAAGGCTAGGTCTTGTGAATTGCATGTTTATGGATCCATTAATGGATCCTGAAAAAAATTCAGTGGTTTATACCAGTAAATTTTAAATTTATAATATAACAATATAAAGTATGAAATACTGCTTCAGTGAGAGTAAGACTGTTTGATAAAACTTTTCTGTGTGATATATGTACAATATAAAGCCCCCCACCCTTTTTTTTATTATGGAGAATGTTTAAAGAAATTGAAAAGCTGGTCTCCAAGGTAACACTGATAACATCCCTTTTTCCCACTCTTGAGAAGCACCAACAGGCTACAGAAATGAACAGTACGAAAAAGATAGTGATAAATCTTTAAGATTACTAAGGGATGTCGTTTATGCTCTTACAAGTTCATGTAAGAAACGACATCCAAATTCTTACCTAAAACTTCCTCATAATCAACAAGATCAAACCAGACGACAGCTACGGATGTCCAGACTCCCAGCAGCGCAATGACCATGAACCATGTGAAAAATGAACTTCCAGAAAGTACTCCTTTCTTCCCATTCCTGTGTCCTCCATGCTTTGTGTCTGTTTAAAAAGAAACGATGTACAATGTCACTGTGTAAGTAAATACTTTGCCAAACACCTCTTTTCA